TCGCTCAATTTGTTTCTTATTATTTCTCTGGCGTCTTCTTTCCTCTACTGAAAGAGCAGTATATGCCTCCTGAGCTTTCCCCACTAAAACAGATTGAAGCATAACTGTACGGTCGGTCTCAGGCCATCCCCGTTCGTCTGCTATGCTTTCAAATAAAGAGAAAAAGACGTCAGGATCTCTCTCGTTGAACACAGGCAAAAATTTCAAATGATTAATTATATCAAAAGGACGGTCTGCGCGATCACTAAATGATCAGCCCTCACTTCGAAGTCTCAAACTCTAAACTTTTAACTGAAACTCTTGATTTTGTCGTTCTGCAGCTAATTTTTGCTCATGTTTAATTTTTTCAAAGTCCATCTCATGCTGTTTCATCAAATCATCTAATTTACGTTTTTCTATTTCTATCTCACAAACACGCATCTCCTTTTCGTGCAACTGTTGCATTTCAATAAGCTCTTTCTGCTGCTCAAACGACAAACCAACGAATGAAACTGCAGAATTAACCCCAGCTGTTACTCGTTTCGGTGTAATTAATACAATCTGAAGATCGCTCAATTTGTTTCTTATTATTTCTCTGGCGTCATCTTTTCTCAAAACACAGCTGTTTTTTCGAACACAAATTTAATAACTCATCTGAAGGAGCTTTACAGAATTCTTCAATTGATGTCATAATTCACAAATCGAATTTACACAAATTAATCCAACAATCAATTCAGCCTACCTATACTTCTAATTACAATTCAGCTGAGGTAATTCTTATGGTCAAATTGTGCACACATTCTCCACCTCCCCACCTAATCTTAACAAAACCCTCTAACTAACTACTCCCAGTCTTCATGTGCTCCCAAGAGTCAAGCCCTTTGAAGCACCCAAATACCGCTGGCACAGAACCGAACAAACAGCTCGGAACTAACACCACGGCAGTGCACTCGACCCAGGAAACACACAAAAATAATAAATTAAAACAAAAAAACAACACAAAGCGTTGCTACAACCTAACTGGGGAGTATAAAGAAATACACAGTCGTTAAACCGCAAGAACTTTCCCTTTCAGAGCTGACCAAAATACGAACCCACGCTCCAAATCAATCTTTCCACCTGCTGGTCTCTCCCACCTAATTAATCACACAAATAAAGTTTAACATTGAACCAAATCAAACAAATTTAAATTGGACGAGCCCCCATATGTTACACCTGGCTCAAAGATGTAACATTAAGGGAGATGACACGGCGGCATAACTTAAAACATAATATTTATTACAATGAAATATAACCAAAATCAAGAATCACAAAAGTCAGTTGGCCTGTCGGTAATATCAGTCAGTATGAAATGCAGGTGAATGGATGCACAAGTGAAGTGTGGTCAGCGCTAGTGAATGGATGCAAAACAAAACATAACGCCACAATTGGAGCACGGCTCTGGCAAACTGCTCGAGCAACAGAAGAGCAGCCGCCCTGACGAACTCTCGCACCATGTTTAAATAACAGCCATGACGAGCATCAGGTGCGCTCCAGTCACACATGACACCGGGGAGAGAAAATGGCTAATTGGGCCCAATTTGGACATTTTCACTTAGGGGTGTACTCACTTTTGTGGTCAGCGGTTTAGACATTAATGGCTGTGTGTTGAGTTATTTTGAGGGGACAGCAAAGAGGAGGTTATACAAGCTGTACACTCACTACTTTACATTGTAGCAAAGTGTCATTTCTTCAGTGTTGTCACATGAAAAGATATAATAAAATATTTACAAAAATGTGAGGAGTGTACTCACTTCTGTGAGATACTGTATATATATATATATATATATATATATATATATATATATATATATATATATATATATATATATATATATATATATATATATATATATATATATATATATATATATATATATATATATATATATATATATACATAAACACATTACATTTCCTTGTTTTCTGCTAGAATAAATAAGTAGCTTGGGGTAGCCTTTATTAAAATTTTCCTAGTTGATCTTAATAAGTAAGTGTGAAATAAAATTAGGCAATCTTAATCATCCATCCATAAATATCCAGTAGCATGTGCAAAACATTCACTTAGTAAGGTGTATTTCACAAACACACAGTGATCATTCATTTCATCATGTGCAATACATGACAACCATGTGGCTTGCGCTAGCGCAGAGCTATTATGTAGCTTTGTTCAATTGACAAACGGTGTAAGTTAAAGGTGCAGTAGGAGATCTGTGAAAATGCTAACTTTAGCCTGATAGCACTGAAAGCGAATGTCCCACCCTCCCTGCAAATCACCGTCCAAAGCCATGCCCCCTGAACGCATGAACGCACAGACCAGACTACCTGACACTACATTACTACAACAGATCATGACTCATTCACCGGTGAGAAAACTTTATAGTACAGTTAGTAACAGTACTACAATATCAAACTTAAAAAAAAACTTTTTAGAAAACAGAATTAGATGCACCATTTTTCCGTTTGTGTATCTAGCAAAACTTGTGTGGAATAATGTTTCTTGCATGTCAGGGTTTCCACGATGACAGTCTGCTTGGCTCCGTTGATGTTTTTATGGAGACAAGTACCTTGTCCGACGTGAGTGTACAGGCGGACACAGGCCAGCGGAGTCGTGCTCGGGGGCAGCTGCCGCGAAGGTCACACGTAGGGGCTGCAGAGGACGGGCCGGTCGGGTTAGGGTTAGGGGGTACTGCGCTTAGCCAGACGTATCTGGACTGATATCCGAGCTGTTCCTGATGCTGAGGAGAGCAATAGGCAGTTCCGTTATGCTGCTTACCGTCAATTTGTTGTGTGGCAATATGGGGCACTGGGACAGGGGCACAGGGTGGTCATTCCCAGCTGCTGCGTGTGGACAATACGTGATCGTTTCCCTGACCCCCATGGACAGTATCAGGGTTATGTTCCACAAAGATTGTAAAATATTACAGAGATAATGTAGATGGTGTGTTCAAAAAACAAAATAATTTATGTAACAATACGTAATGTAGACACTTGATAGAAATATTTGTACAAATTCTCTTTATTTTTTTGACTAAGTGCTCTTCGCAAACAAATTTGTTACTTGTTCTGTGGAACTTGTAATTTTTTCTAATAAAGACATATTTTGTTATCTTGAAAATTCAATGAAAACATTTCTGTACATGCACAACAATGAAAAATACAATATAACAATGATGATCCAAACAAACATCTTAAATTTACATATACCCAGTACATTATAAACACAGCAAAATATACTGTATGTATATGCTCACTTTCTACAAACCAGAGGTTATCAAATTTGGTTCTTTGAAGCCACTGTCCTATTTTTTTTTTCACATTGCAATCAAACACACAAGAATAAGGTAATCATAGTTTTATGGTGTAAAAAAAAATATATAGTCATGTAAGTTGGATCCAACTTTGAGTCTAACACTGCAGACATGTTGATCTTGAAGGCTAGCATCCCTGATGTAAAGTAACAAATACAGTGTTGGATGACTGCTCAAGTTGTGCATGTGTCCTGACGTGTGTTGCCAGGGCTGTCTACAACTGGTTTTAAAGGGACTGTCCTGCAGAAAGAAATATTCACAATTGTATTCACAATTACATATCAGTGAATACATACACATAAAAAATGACTAGTTGCAGCAAAGAAGGTGACAGCATAACACTGAGTAGTAAAGTAGTAAGGCTGAGTAGTAAAACATTTCAATATTACAATAATTATTGAATCCTTCATGTCATGGGCCAGAACAAACAAACTAAATCAACTCACCTGTCCCTCTGCTGAGTTGTGTCTGCAACAACTCATGGGTGCTTGGTACATGGCCACCAGACAGAACACCAAGTAGACGTGGATCACCTGGCCTCAGGGATCTTCTCAATGGCATTTCCTCAGTTCTGGATAACTTCTTCATCAGGATAGCGCTCTGCAGGTCTGCTATGTAACTGTAGTCCTTCTCTACTTTAAGTGCGTATAACCTCCACCTTCGGGATTTTTTGTTGTAAATCTTTCCATATCTGCAAAAACAAGTCAGAAGTAATTTGACATGGAATGTCTACCTGTTAATCAGCAATTGAATTGAAAGATAATGCATTGCACTGAAACAATTCGTTATACAACATACTGAATTGAGCCATCAGCTCTTCTCTTGGCTGGTCTCTGAATGTGGTGGTTATAGTCCAAGCCTGCAAGCATAGTGCGAGCTGAGTATACAGGAGGTGAGAAACAGAAGCGCTTGCTAGCATACATAAGTATATGGTTGTGAAATGACTCAAGCTCGGAAGTAGACCTGTGGACATAAAGGAAAGAATGCATTGTATTTCAGGTTGTTGATATGCAATCTCAGAACATATAATGGCAACACAGTGAAATGTCCATGAACTATCTGCATAGGGCAAAGTCAGTAGTGCATAGAACTTTACTGTCAAACCTGAAATGTAGGTATTTGTGCACATTCTTCAACCATCGTGCATCCAGAATTAAGCGTGTGAGAGTCTGATGTGCCTTGGAGCCTTTTTCAAACCACTGTTTGTCTCTCTGCTCAACCAAGGGACCATGGTCATATGATCCCAGGGCCCACGCATGTTCTCCTGCAACATGGTGCAGGAGTCCAACCCATTTGTCCTAAAGTGAACCGGTTACAAAATTACTGTGACATTTCTATAATAACACTGAACCGACAGTTTGTTCAAAGTACAATACACAAAAAACTCACAAGATTAAATGATATAATTTTGAGGTCTAGGCAACACTTACAAAGAAATAATCATAGGTGTCTGCCACCTTGCAGCAATACCAAAAGTGGTTGCATATGTCCTTGTTCCAATGTAATAAAATATTGCAGTCCTTTTGCTGCCCTGCCTGCACATAATTCATTATTAAATTAAGCTGTGTGTAAAATTTCATAGCTTGTACCCATTGTCAATTTATATTTTTTTATTTAGGTTATGAAACATTTTTTATTATAAAATGTACATACAGACCTACCGCAAGGATTTTTTTACTCAAGCTTTTAGCTCCATGCCAGATGTCGAGTGTGTGTTGTACACCACTGTCTTTGTATTTCCCCATGTCTGTTGGATAAATTGAAAAAATAGAATGTATAAATTTTACTTGACACATTTTCAGATGTTACTCCATGCTTGTTTTTGGGTTAGTGTATCAACCACAAACAAAGCAAAATACAATACAATACTCACTGAAGAGGGCAGATATTTGAACATGGGCATCGGTGCAAAACTCCGTAACCTTGAGCTCCTCACAGAGTGTCTCAAAGGTACGAATGAAGGCCTCTTTCTCCATTACAACCGAGTTCCTCTGTGTTTCTCGCTTGTCTATGTTGACTATGCTGATCATTTTTTTGGACTCATTGTCCATGGCCGTGTATGTGCAGTATTGTGCACAGAATCCTGGACTGTCCATCCTAGCATCTCCTACAAATGTAGATGACAATAATTAGGTAAAAGCATGACATGTCCTACCTATATATTCTAAGGAAAAAAAGGCAGCACTACCGACTGACAATGTATCACAAAAGTTTTATCAGTGATAACACTTGCAATTATTTTTTAGTATTACTCTCTTATGTGTGAAAGTGTTTGTGTGTCTCCAACTAACCCAATACTACAATTGGTCCTTTTAAGCATGTTGGGAATACAAATGTATTATAAACATACTACTTGAATTTCAAGTATATTTTTAATACATTTAATACTACGTCTTTTTCACCTGGGCATACATGATAATTATCGTCAGTTAGGTCAGTACAGCCACTTACGTTGTATTTTGAATGTCATTGAACTCATCCGCAACATCTTTTTCAAGTACATATTCACTACACGGAGGGAAAAGAAATACGATTTGAAAAATTACACATATATAAAATAATAATTTTAATAATAATAATTAATAATTCAATTACAACCTTAGATCCCCACTGACAGATGTAATAACCTCTGATCGATGTATACTACTCTACATTTGAAGTGGATGAAAACCTTTATTCAAAGTTGACGTGAAAAACCAAAGTGTTCTTATCTTAGGCCAACTTATATGAACTTTTTTGATCCACTTCAAATCTTGACTACTGTACGTTCATAGTTTTGTTTGTAATTTTGGCATAGGTCGATCATGCAAATTTGATAACAGTATAAAGCTAGGATGTGTTTGGTACACCCAGTAAAAAAAATGCTAATTAAATTATTGTCTTGCTCATTTGGTAAGTAAGAAAACATTAAAAGTCTTTCTGTCAGGATGGGCCCCAAACAATATAACTATTTATACACTGCGCTTGGCACGTGCATTACTTACAATTGGTAAGCACAATTATGGTACCTTTTTGCTATATCTTGACTACCGGCCTCTTCAGAGTCAGTGCTTTCCAACTGCTGAACTCCAGCTATATTGAAATCAGCCTCACTGTTAGAACAAGACATATATATGAATATATTCAAGCACCTCACATCTCAGATTTGTGAAAGTGAACATTAATAAGTTTGTAAACTGAGTCATCAGGCACACGGAAAACATAAAAGAAAATGAATGGGCTTGTTCTGCCTTTTGCTGAACACAAATGGATATGTTGGACTTTTCAAAGCGACGTTGAGGGTATTTCCATTTAAGTGTGAAACATGACGTTTTACTCACAGTTTGTAGGAAGTCTCAGAAGCAATTGTCGACACATCTGGTGGTGGTGGCTTTACGTGTCCATGCACCAGCGGTGTTGATGTTGTAGTTTTCTCGTAACTTTGTAAACAAACATAGTTACCTGATTACACGATGCTGCTGTAGTTGAGCTAAGTCGTCAAGGTACACAAACTAAACTATGCGTTATATCAAAACACACCCAAATTGAATCACACCATATACCTAACTTACCAGTCCAAAAGAAATACTGCAACCATGGCGTCATCATTCAGACCCTTTGACTCCCGTAGTTGTCTCCAGCGTGGAAAAGCAACACCGATATTAACTCGGGTTTTTGCTCTGTTTTCATCAAGCCTTTTTTTCGCTGTAGCCTTTTCAAAGACTGTTTTTCTTTTGGTGGATACCTGTACAAGGGCACTTGTAGTCGGTTGTTGTGAAGGAAGTGAAAGTGACAGTGAAAGTGATGTGACATGTGGCCAAGTATGGTGACCCATACTAGGAATTAGTGCTCTGCATTTATCCCATCCAAAGTGCACACACACAGCAGTGAACACACACACACCGTGAACAC